CTCACTAAATTACTAAGTTGTCCAGGCTAACTCCAACTTCTTGCCTCCAAGTGCTAGGATTACAGGCATGCGCCATCATGCACAGCTATGCTTTTATTCTTTTTAATGCTTTCTCTTGTATCTGTGTGCCGCTTTTTTTTTTTAAATGTATTTGGTTCAAGGTCTCTAGTGTCTCACTACACAGATTGGACTCATAGTGATCCTCCTGTTTCCAGCCTCCAAAAGTTGGGATTATAGGTGTGTGCCACCATGCCCAGTCTCAGTCCTTGTCTCAGCACACCCGGGGGCAGGGTCAGCATGGCATGCCAGGGATCAAACCTTGGCCTCTACACTCCCCTTAAGCAGACACTTTAGTCTGCTGAGCTATTTGGCCAGCCATTTGGTGCCACATTTTTAAGCAGTTAATCAGGTGATGAGCAGAGTTTTTGTTTTTTTTTTTAGGCAAGAGTCTCACTAAGGTAGTGCAAGTTGGTCTTAAACTAGCTTATGCACCCCAGACTGGTGTTCCTCCTGCCTCATTCTCTCAAGTGCTGGGATTACAGGTGTGTGTCATAATGCTCGACCCGGCAGTGTTGGTGTATTGTGCTAGTTACGCTTTTGATTTTTTTGAGGAGCTCTGTCCTGTTTTCTGTAATGGAGGCAGTAAGTTATTGCACTCCACACTTTCACCAGAATACTGTCTTTATTCTCAGAATAGTCATTCCTGTTGGGGTAAAGTGATACTGTGGTTTTGATGTTCATTTTCATGATGTGTGATGATGAGCTTTTTCTCATGTATTTGTTGGCTATTCATATGTCTTTTAAGAAATGACTATTTAGGGGCCAGCGAGATAGCTCAGTAGAATAAGCACTTGCCTGGCAAGCACAGGGGTCTGAGTTTAATACCTGGTTCTGAAAAAAAAAAAAAAAAAAGAAAAGAAATGGCTATTTAAATCTACTGCTGAACTTTTTTTTTCCATAATTTTATTCAGAAATAAATAGCAATGAGACAGTTTCAAATCAAATTGGTAGGACAATTCCAATAACTAACACATTGCATACTGCCTTCCTAGTGGTTATTTGTTGTACAAGATGCAGACATGATATCCTATTTACAAACACTATTAGAACAAATCCCTCTATTCATTGAATTAAGAGAATGTAGCTATATATCTATCCTAACCATTTTGAATACACAGATATAAAATGGTCATTCATCTATATCCCCTTTTTTTGTTTAGTTCCATCATTTAAATATTATAGGTGTGTAAACTCAGCAAAATATTCCAAAATAGTCCAGTAGTCCATAATACCATTGGGTCTTCTGCTTGACTGGCAATGGCAGAAGTTGTTGACCTGAGTCCCCTACAGCTCATCATAACAACATGGCTGTACTTCTTATACTTCCGTTTTTATACTTTTCTGCTGGATGGTTAAGACTAAGATAAAGCAAGACCTATGTAATAAGAATTGTAGCTTTTGGATCTGATAAGGCCAGTGAAATCCCCTCAAGGATTTATCCTGAGACCCTGTACCTCAGATTGTAGAACTTTTGTCATTGTCAGCCATGTGGATGAATCACATCCATTTCTTGGCCCAAAGTGCTCTCTGTGACAACCTGAGAATGTTTTCTCTCCATGTGACTCTCCTTAGGTACACTCTACATCATCGATCACTTTCTTTGGTCCCATAATCTCTTTTATCAGAAAATTTGGGACACAGCTGAGTTACATGATGTTACAAGTTCTGATATGTCCTGAGTCTTAATTGACCTTGGAAAGCCAGGGCCGAAATGTTGGCTTTCCTTGTGGCCCTCTTTTTTCTTTTAATTTTTGGTCTTCAAACTTAGGTTGTTAACCCTCCAGAAGAGAAGCTTATTGTTATTACCATATAACCTAGGCTGTTGAGCTTGACCTTCTAAGTTACATGGTTTTCTGCTCTTTGAGTGTTTGAAATTCTTCATACATACTGAATATCAAGAACTTGTCAGTTTACATGAGAAGTTTGCAGATATTTTCACCCATTCAGCAGGTTGGCCCCACACTCTGTTTCATTTGCTAAGCAGAAGGTTTTTAATTTATTTTTTCTGTTATTTTTTGTCTTTTTGAGACAGGGGATACAGTTCAGGCTGTCCTTGAGCTCGCTTTGTAGCCCATGTTTGTCTCAGATTTGCAGCAATTCTTCTGCCTCAGCCTACCAAGTGCTGGGATTACAGGGGTGCACCACCACCCCCAGCAAGTTTTTTTACTTCGATAAATTCATGTTTGCCAATTTTTGCTTTTGTTTCTTGTCTTATCAAAAACAAAACATTTCCCATATGCTTTCTTTTAATTTCTTTTTTTTTCTTTCAGTATTTTCATAGTTTCAGATCTTGTGTCTATGTTGCCTTGATTTTTAGTAACAGATGGGCACTGTCTACCTTCTGCATGTAGATGCCCAACTTCTTCATCATTTATTAAAAATACTATCTCCAAAGTGTGCTCCAAGGACTGTGTCAGAACTCAGTGCACTGCTGATGTAGGTTTACTCATAGACTGTACTGCTCCTTCAGTCTGTGTGTCTGGAGTTAGGCCAGTCCCATTGTCTGACTTGGTGGTATGTTTTGATGTTGATCAGTGTAGTGCCTCCCTCCTTGCTACCTAGGCTGGCTTTGGCTCTTCAGGGTTTTTGTTGTTCTTCCATAGCAATTTTTTTTTTTTTTAAACTCCTTAATCTTTTGGTGCTGAGGACTGAAAAAAGGCCCCTTGCTTTTTAGACAAGTGTTCTGCCACTGAGCTAAATCCCAACTCTCATATCAGTTTTAGAGGTCTTCTATCTCTTTCATTAATGTTATTTTTAGCAGTTTCATTTACTTACTATAGCTCTTTTTAAAATTTTTTTTTTTTTAGTGGAACCGGGGTTTGAACTCAAGCCCTTGCGCTTGCCAGGGAAGCACTTACTCTACTGAGCCATCTCCCTGGATAGCTCTTGTTTTGGTTTTTTTTTTTTTTGGGGGGTTTTTTGTTTTTGTTTTTGTGGAACCAGGGATTGAACTCAGGCCCTTGCACTTGCCAGGGAAGCGCTTATTCCCCTGAGCCATATCCCTGGCCCCCTGGATAGCTCTTGTAAAGAGGTGCTTTCTTGATTTGTATTTCAGCTAATTCATTTGACAAGTAGCAGTCCTACTCATTTTTACATGTTGTTTTTTTATCTTGTAATGTTGCTGAATTTGTTTTATCAGTTTAACTTTTTTAAAATGTTTTTTATGTGTGTAATATATGATCATATCAGCAAAGATCAGACATCTTACTTTCTAATTTGATGCCCTTTATTTCACTCTCTTGCCTGATTGCTATGCCTGGGGCAGGCTGGCCTGTGCTAAATGTAAGGAGGCAGAAGTGGTCCTCCTTGTCTTATTGCAGGTTGCAGAGAGAAAGCTTTCCACTTTTCCCCATTCAGCATAAGCTGTTGACTTATAACAAATTGCCTTTATTATGATGAGTTACTGAAATGCAAATTTGCTTAACTTGAAGCTTTAAAAATCTTCCTTTTGTGGGCTTGTTATACCTATTTTAGTATTGGCATATCTTTAATTTCATAGCCAGCTTTTCTGTATGGAATGATTTCTAATTCATACATTCACAGTAACATAGTAATTCACCCATGATATGAAAAAGATTTTAGGCTTCATGCATTCTTTTACTGCAGTGTTTTCTTCAGATTGGGTTTCCTCCCTATGTTTCTGTAGTTGATTCTTTACTTCAGATGCTATGAGTTCAGAGAATTTCAGAAAAGAATTGTGCTCTGAGTTCCTCTATAACTTTCTGCTGTTGCTTATTTACTATCGACGCTATTAATTCGTACATTTGAGCTGAGCTAGTAGAAAAGAATTCCGCTCTGAGTTCCTCTATAACTTTCTGCTGTTGCTTATTTACTATCAATGCTATTAATTCATACATTTGAACTGAGCTAGTGTCCTCTGCACTTGTTCTGTGTGCGCATTGGGTTTCCTCCATATGTTTCTGCATTTGATTCTTTACTGCAGTTGCTATTAATTCAGGAATTTCTTTTTTCATTTCCAATCTAAGTTCCTCTATACCTTTCTGCAGTTGTTTCTTTATTTCAGAAGATGTTGATTCATTTATTTCAGCTGTGTGATTCCCAATTTGTTCTTTATTAGTGTTCTCTGCACTTGTTATGGGTATGCTTGGGGTCTGAGATTGCATTTTGCTCCTTCTCGTTGGCATTTTGTGTAGCACTGTCTTCTGACCTTTGTGGTAAACCTTTGGTGCAGTTACAACCTTAGCACCTACTGAAGTTCAGGTGTAGATCTACAAAGTTTGGATTTATCCTGCTGTGCTCAGCTCCTTCCTGCTGCCGCCCTTGGGAGTGAACCTGTTGTGCCCCTCTGGCAAGATGTTCTGCTCCTGGACTAGCTGGGTGGTTCTGTCCCCTACACTCTCTGCAGGGATTGCAGCTGCAGGGTTTTACCCCAGGCCTGTAAGACAGGCCTGAGCTAATTCTGGAGGGGACAAGGTGGAGTAGCAGGGAGAGGCAGCTCTCCCACACACTCACCGGGCGTGGGCTAGGACTGAATCTGGGAGTTCCCAGAATGCAGCAGAAATCCTCACTGGATAGGTGAGTTTGGGGGGGTGCTGCGGAGTGGTGGGGGGTCCCAAGGTGGTGGAAGAGGGTCTCACCCACGCTGCGCCTAGGCTGAGACCGGCAGGTCCTGCCGGCGCAGGGTAGCCAGAAGCTCTCCCACACACTCCCTAGGCTTCATGCATTCTTGACCTTTAAGTGCCTTATTAGGTGCTTCATTAGGTTTCCATAGATTTTTGTATTTGTATTTGTTATTTTTTGCACCAGGGTCTCAGTAGGCAGTACAGCCTGGCCTTTAACTTGCTTATGTAGCCCAAGCTGGGCTCAAACTCACAGCAATTGAATCTCCTGCCTCACCCTCCTGACTGCTGGGATTACAGGTGTGTACCACCATGCCTGGCTTATTTTCTTAATAGTATTTTTTTTTCTACTTTCTTTAGTGATCGTGGTGGAGAAGACCCAAACCAGAAAGTAATCCATGGGGTTATTAACTCCTTTGTTCATGTTGAACAGTATAAGAAAAAATTTCCTTTAAAGGTAAAAATTTTTATTTAAAAACATATCCAGACTTCATAAAATTACATTTTTTTCCTAATACAAATGTAATTGATTTTTCCAGTTTTATCAAGAAATCTTTGAGTCTCCCTTTCTGGATGAAACAGGAGAGTATTACAAACAAGAAGCTTCAAATTTATTACAAGAATCAAATTGCTCACAGTATATGGAAAAGGTAAGAAATAACATTACTTCATCTGTTTTATATTGAACATGATTTTTCAGTTAAAATTTTCTTGGAAAGATGGTTCTGTTTATTTGATCATTGGCTCAGCTAATGAATGTCTGTTGCCAAGACAGACTGCTCTTGCTGGAATGTTTTCTAAAGAAAAAATGGTATTCTAGTTTTCTTCATGGCTGATACTTTATGCTAAATCCCTGTTTTTTTTTTTTCTTATCCTTAAAATTAATATATATCATGTAAAATGAATATATTATGTGATTAATATATAATCATATATTTTATGATATATAAATTAATGTAAATAAATGTTTATATGTAGGGTAATATACAAATTTGAAATGATGGATAGATTATTTAGTTGTATAAGCATTGTTTACCTTCATGTTTCATAGTCATTGAAATTTGCTACCTGACTTAATGTGAAAACTTGTTTTTTTCTCATGGAAGAATTGCTAAGTTCTGGATTTTAAGAATCTATTTTTGTAGGTTTTAGGTAGATTAAAAGACGAAGAAATTCGATGTCGAAAATACTTAAATCCAAGTTCATATACTAAAGTAATTCATGAATGTCAGCAACGCATGGTAGCAGACCACTTACAGTTCTTACACGCAGAATGTCATAATATTATTCGACAAGAGAAAAAAAATGGTAAGTGGTACCAAGACACATTAATAGAAATTAAAGTAGAAACTCTTAAGATCTTCTTTCACAAACCTTAGACTTAAAGCATTTTTATTATCTTTACAGTATTTTCTTTATCCTCTTGTAGACTATTGTACATTGAAAGACTTTTTTTAAAAAAATGTATTGTGGTACAGGGCTTCACTACATAGCTCAGACTCATCATGACCCTCCTGTTTTCAGCCTCCCTAGTGCTGGGATTACCACACTTGGACTTGTTCCCTGGCTCAGCATGTCCAGGGGTGGGGCTGGTACTGCGTGTGGTACCGGAGATCAAGCCCCAGTCCCTGCGCTTGCCAAAGCAGGTGCTTAATCTACTGAGTTATCTTGCCAGCCCTGAAATACTACTTTGGAAAGGTGTAGTCTTAGTGTATTCTAAAATGAAAAGAAAACTGCAGAAAGCTCATATATTTTCATGTGTAACAGTAACTTAAAATGTTAATTCCTAGTATACTGTGGGAATAAAAGCCAAGTCTGTGAGAAGGAATGATAAATAGACTTGAAATATGTGGAGAGATGCTAAATGTGATTCAAAATAGGGGAGATCCAAAGTAAAAGTACAGTGGGGTGTCAGGTACCTTCCCCTGAAAGGAGAGAGTGAAGCTTCTGTGCAAGGATGGGCAGGTGGGCAGTGGAGGAGAGTGGGCAGCCCCGAAACAGCTGCATGTGGTGGCGCTAGAGCAGGGAGGACAGGCGGCTTCTGGAAGTACTTTGTGCTGGATCTACCACATATCCATGTGGGGAAAGAGAAGTAGGAGCCCTACCTCAGGTACCATGTGCATGCTCATTTCACTACAGGATTTCTGGTCTTAACTGTAAAGTGTAAGTGAGTAACACTTCTGAGAAGAAACAGAGGACAGTGTCTTCTTGACTTTGGGATAGAGAAAGATAGCTGTGACACAAAAAGCACTAACCACAAAGGAAAGATTTATCCAGAAGGCTGTGTTAAAATGACAAACTTTGGATCATTGAAACATCCTTGGCCACCAGTGCATCGAGAATAGGCAAAGGGTCATATTATCTGCAGTGACTGAAAATTTATTCTCAAATATAAAATGGTCAGGACACCCACTCAGGCTAACAAGGATAAATGTCTTCAGTTTCATTAGAGGGATTAAAACCACGATAAGGGGCTAGCCAAGTAACTCAGTGGATTAAACTGCCTGCAAGCAGGCGCAGGGGTATTCCAGGCTGTCCTAGAACGCACAGTGGTCCTCCAGTCTCAGCCTCTTGAGTACTGGGATTACAGATGTGCACCATTTTCTTGAATGTGCATACTCCATCTTTGGCAAGATACGAAAGAATCACCACATTGCTTTCCTCTTGAGGAAGATGAGGGTGTGAGAGATGCGTGTGGGGTCTTTAATGTGCATCCTCTTGGACTTCTGCCTTTTGCACCATGTTACCTGACAATAAAAATACATGAGATTTTAATAATGAATTTTTTTCCCACCAGACATGGCGAATATGTATGTTTTACTCCGAGCTGTGTCAACTGGGTTACCTCACATGATTCAGGAGTTGCAAAATCATATCCATGATGAGGGCCTTAGAGCAACCAGTAATCTTACTCAGGAAAATGTGAGTTGTGCATAAAGAGCTGCAAACTTTTCTTATTAATCTGCTTTGTTGGAGTTTTTGTTTTGACTTTACTGTTTTAAGAGGTTAAAAGTCTTGGTCATGTCAACAAATAAAGCATCTATTTTTCAAATGCTTAAACCTAGAATTTGTTGTATTCATTTTTGAGTTAGGAGAAACTTATTAGAAAACCATTGAAAGAGATATGCTGCTTCATAGCCATACTGGTGTGTTTGTTCATTAAATGTTTAACTTCTCACAGAGAAATGCTTACTGTTTATACATAACCACGTTTCTTCCTCACTGGTAGATTAGAATAGCCTTCCTATAGATGCTTGCTATCCAGAATACCTCAGACAGGGACCTTCACATTCTGGATACCTCTCCTTTTCAAGAGTACTTGGCAACTCAATGAATTTTTACAGGTTGCCTTATTATTCATGGCAGTTGATAAGATATAACCTGAAATGTCCTTCTATCTCCTAGATGGCAATCCTTGCTCTCACCTATAATACAATAATCTAGTACGTACCTCATGGCTCAGAGCACTTATTAGATGCCTTTCATCTTAAAGGAGATTTGTCTTTAGCAAAAAATTTGTAGTTTTTAGATCCTGCCATGGAAGCTATAAATTTATTTTTTGTGTGTGTAGAGGTATTTTTAGTTTAGTATTGTTAGGTATTAACCACTGTTTGATATTTACTAGGCTTGTTACTGTGCAACAGCCCTAGCATGTTGAGAGGCATTGGCTAGAGAAGCACAGAGTCTGTGTCAAGGCTGGGAGTTTGAATTAAGGGAATGCATTTGCATGAGGCTGTACATTCAGGTGACTTGATTAGTTAGGCATCACTTCCTGTTATCTTCTTTTAGAGGTAAAGTTCACTTTACTACTTCGCATTTCTTCCCTCTGAAATGAAGGGGATTATACTACCCATTTCCAGGGGCTCTGTTACCTCAGATACAGCTTTTAAATCCACTGTTTTCTTTTGCAAGATTGTTACTAACATTGTAATATTTATGTTACAAATTATAGATACATTGTTTAGTATGGTTCTAGCCATGTAGGAACTGAAGCCCCTTCAAAGGGTCAGAGAAAGAATTAGCTGTTTTAGTAACTGCACATTTTGTATACTTTTAAGCAACTCTTAAATATTGCTGAAAAGTAATAAACATACATGGAGGGTACAATGTAATACCCTATTTACAGTACAGCTAAAGATAAAATTTAAAACAATCAAGTTTGAATGTACATAATTGTTGGTGCACAGACTGTATTATGTCCAAAGAGAACAAAAGCCTCTTCCCTGCCCCCAAACGAGACCTATGTAATGGCCTGCAGTGATTAAAAGAAATAAATCCACTGTTTCAGTCATTAGCGATATTACAGACCATTTTTGTTCATATAGTCCTCTGACAGTCATAGACCTGATGTATTTCAGGGATCTATCTAGTTCCCCTTCAGCTCTGATATCCAATGTAAGAGAGAAGTAGAGCTGGACAGATGCTCAACCCTATAATACTAGCACTTGGGAGACTTAAAGCAGGGAGATCAACAGGAGTTTGAGGTCAGCCTGGGCTATACAGTGAGTTCAAGGCCAACCTGAACAACAGAAGACAGAGGGAAGGAAAGAGAGAGTGAGAAAGAGCGCTAGCTTTTTGTGCATTTATCTGGCAGGTCCTAAACAGTCTTGGTGTTAAGCTGATTTTATTATTATAGAAGTTTTTAGGATTTTTTTTTTTTTTTTTTTTTTGAGACAAGATCTTACATAATTCAGGCTGGCTTTGAACTCACCATATAGCCTGGTCCTCTTGCCTCAGTCTCCCATGTACTAGAATTATGGATTCTATGCCCAGAATTAATTTGGTGTTTTGAGACAGGGCTTTGCTGTATTCTAGGCTGGCCTTGGACTGACTGCAGTTCTTCTGCAGCATCTGAGATTGCAGGTGTGGGCCCAGCTGGAAGTTTTAGGTTTTAGGTTTATTATTTTTTTCCCCATAATTTTATTAATAAACAAATAGCAATGAGACAGTTTCAAATCAAATTGGTAGGACAGTTTCAGTAATTCACACATTGCATACATTATTCCTAGTGGTTAGTTGCTATACAAGATGCGGACATGATATCCTATTTACAAACACCATTAGAACAAATCGCTCTGTTCATTAAGAGAATGTAACTATATATCTATCCTAACCGTTAACTTTGAATACACAGATATAAAATGGACATTCATCTGTATGCCCCTTTTTGTTAAGTTCTGTTATTTGAATATTTTAGGTGTGTAAACTCAGTAAAATATTCTAAAAGAGTCCAGTAGCGCATAATAGTATTGGGTCTTCCACTTCACTAGCAATGTCAGAAATTGTTGACTTGAGTCCCCTACAGATCAACATAACACCATGGCTTTGCTTCTTATATTTTGTTTTTATACTTTTCTGCTGCATGGTTAAGACCAAGGTAAAGCAGGACCTATGCAACAAGAGTTGTAGCTTTTGGGTCTGATAAGGTCAGTGAAATCCCCTCAGGATTTATCCTGAGATCCTGTACCTCAGATTGTAGAACCTTTGTGAGTGTCAGCCATGTGGATGAGTCACGGCCATTGCTTGGCCAATGTGCTCAGGTTTTAGGTTTATTAAGTCCATATTAGATCATATTAGACATCTTCTGAGAGGGAAGAAGATAGAGAAAATATGTGTAAAATTCATCGTTTTGGGGGGAATAAATTTTATTTGTTAAACAAGTCTTTAACAATCCTAATTTTATTCTTGAATTTCTTAAAGTGGGTTTTGTTCTTTGTGTTTTATTTTTAGATGCCAACACTATTTGTAGAGTCAGTTTTGGAAGTACATTGCAAATTTGTTCAGCTTATCAACTCTGTTTTAAATGGAGATCAGCACTTTATGAGTGCATTGGATAAGGTAACTTTTTTAACTATATTTTCTTTACTCATTTGTTGGGAAGTTTCAGATTAGGCTTCTAAGTATGAGGTTTCTGGAGATTGACCTCATAACTAAATTAAATGTGAAGTCAAAATAGGCATAACATGTTTTAAATTATTGACTGAATGGTTAAATTGAATGTTTACAGAATTTCTCATTACTGTATACTATATAAATGGAATTTCCAATAAGCTAGAATCTTATATACAAAATAGTTTAATATTTTTTAGTATTGATTTTTTTCTTCAAACATTTAACATAAGCTTTGTGCATAACTGAAAGAAAAATATGTTTTATAGACTTGAACTTTTATATTATGTGTAGTAAGTTTGTTTACATGGTGTAAGAAGTTTTTAAGCATATTACTGTACTCAGATTTCAATAATGAGTAATAAAGTATCTTGTAATTGGAGTGAGATATGCAATTATTATATCATTGGGAATACACTTAGAGGAGTCTTCCTAATGTTAGATACAAAAACAGTATCAACAAGCTACCACGAAAGTACTATTTTATATGTTGTAGTGTAACTTGTGACAATGACTGCAAGGAACATGTTGAAGGGAGGACATTATGGTTTATATCTAAAATGTTTTCCCAAATCCCCATACCATACACTTACAGGTGGGGCTTTTGGGAGTGACAGGATAATGGGTGTGATAACTGGGTGGGTGTGATAACTGGATCAGTCTGGTTTAGCAAAGGTTTGGGTGTGGCTGCATGGATCTTCTAAAGACAGAAGATGGACTCTGGGTGTGCCTGTCACCAGTGAATAGGCTTGTATCTTGAGTGGAGTCAAAAAGGAAAGGGAGGCTAGCTGTTGGTACTTCCTTTCTGCCTTGCCTGCCCTGCCCTGGAGCCAGCCAGCTATTGATTGAGACCTCTACAAGCTGTGGGCTAAAATAAATCTTTCCTCCTTTAAATTGTGGGTGTCAGATATTTTGTCCCAGCAACAAGAAAGTAACCAAGAGGAAATGCTTATTTTGCCTCATGGTTTCAGAAGTGTCAGCCCACAGTACTGTGGAGCCTGAGGCACGCAGCACATGCTGATGAAAGTGTATGACTGAGGAAGATTGTTCAGCTTGTGGTGGCCAGGGAGACAAGAGATAGAAGGGGCAGGGCCAGGGTACCCAGTGTCCCCTTCAAGGGCACCTGCTTCCCAGTGACCTAAGTTCACTCTATTGGGGTGCACCTCTTAGAGGTTGTAGCACTTCCCGTAGTGCTAGACTGGGAGCTAAGCCTTCAACACATAGCCTTTTGGGGGCATTTAAGATAGAAATGGTAACAGGTGATAATTTGGACAGACAGGGGATGGTGAATGTTTTAGAGCTTTCAATGATACAAACAGCCCACTGTGGTACATGTGCCATAGGCTCACCATAGCAGTGGTAGTGACACTGACCTCATGTGCTCTTGCGCTCTCTGGTGGCTAATTACTGGTCTTTTTCCTTAGGCCCTCACATCAGTAGTAAATTACAGAGAGCCCAAGTCTGTTTGCAAAGCACCTGAACTGGTAAGTCTGATGGTTGCTTAATCACAACCTTGAAAAATCTGTATTAGTTAGAAAAAGGAAAACTGAGCATTAAGTCAGATTAGTTGTTATAGTATTTTTCAGGAAATGAGAAACTATTTATACCATAGCTTGACATTTGTAAGAGGAAAGCAGAAGGCCAAATATGTTTTCTTAAGACAGAACCAAAGGAGAACACTTCATTTACTGTTGTGGCTTTGTTTCTGAGTTTTGTTTTTGTTCCTTTGGTTTTTGTGAGACAGGATGTCACTATGTAATTGAAACTGGCTTTGAACTCACTATATGTAGCCCAGTCTGACCTCACACTCTTGCCTCAGCCCCCAAGTGCTGGAATTATACATGTGGGCTATGACATCTGGCATTGGTTTGGTTTTTTTCAGAGGGTATTGCTCTTTTCTAAGCTGGCCTTGGGCTTGGTGTGTACTCCTGTTACAGGCATGTGCTACCATGCATGTGCTACCAGGCTTGACCAAACTTTGAGATTGATTGCTTGATTTTATGGTACTGGGAATCAAACTTGGGGATGTTGTGCTTGCAAGGCAGGCATTTCTGCGACTGAACTACATTTCTGGCTATATCTCTGGCTATTGAAGTATGTCTGCTCTGAAATAACTCACATTACTTTTGTGTGTGTGTGTGTGTGTGTGTGTGTGTGTGTGTGTGTGTGTGTTTTGCTCCTTGAATGCCTTCAGGGCACTTTTGCATGGCTGGAGTGTTGTGGGGATCGAACTGCAGCAAACGGAGGCTGCCAGCATTGTGGAAGCTGCCACTTAAAGAACTGAGCTAGGGCTGCCCCCCCTAACTCACATTACTTTTCATGCAAACTTTTGTTATATCTGAACTCTGAAGGAGCCTGATACATTTTTGGAAAACTTTGAAGGAAGACTTTTTTTTTTAAGGCAGTCTTATGCAGTTCATGCTGGCCTTGAACTCACTTTTGTAACCCAGGCTGGCCTCAAAGTCATGCTGTTCTTCCTGCCTCTGCCTCCCCAGTACTGAGCTATAAGCAAGTGCCACCATGCCCAGTTTGGTTTTTGTAAGATTTTAAGAGGTTAATTGTTCAGTGTCAAAAATCATAGAACCATTAAAAATTTCTTCAGAAATGTATTTTTAAAATTTAAGTATTTATAGCAGTGTTTTAATCGTTAGTACGTGTTGATCAGATTTTTGAGCTGTGTCAATGTTTCTATAAATTAAATGTGTTGAGTATATTTAAGTAATTTATGTTATGTTCATGACCTTTGAAATTTAGCATAGAGACCTCATTTGTTGACCTTATTTTGTATTGTTGTTACTTTGCCTCATTTGAGGCATAAGAGGTCCAGAAGGGTCCTGTCTAAAATTTATTATCGCTTTCTATTTGAGCTTGCTAAGTACTGTGACAACCTATTGAAAAAGTCAGCAAAAGGGATGACCGAGAATGAAGTAGAAGACAAATTAACGAGCTTTATTACTGTTTTCAAGTACATTGATGATAAGGATGTTTTTCAAAAGGTAAGCTGTTAAAAGAAAACTTTTTTATAAAGAAAACTTTTAAATTGTCATCTTTGCTTAATTTCTGAACTTGAAATCATTAAAAAGGAAATAATCTTAAAATATTTTTTAATGTAGTTCTATGCAAGAATGTTGGCAAAACGCTTAATTCATGGATTATCTATGTCTATGGATTCTGAAGAAGCTATGATCAATAAACTAAAGGTATTGTAAGACTCTAATCTGATAATGACCTAGCAGTTGCTCTACCAGCACATAAAGACCCTCATTACAGCAATATATATATATATAATTACAAGAGATCAACAGGAGTGGGTAAATGTATAATGTGTATTCATGCACCAGTAGAAAATCCTTGAATGGGCCAGGAAGACAGCTCAGTGGCATAAACACCTGCCTGGCAAGTGCGAAGTCCTTGGTTTGCTCTCTGGTACAAAGCAAAACAAAACAAGAGAAAATCCTCCAAGGTGTAGTCAGTATTGCCTTTAAGACATATATTAGGACTGGGGAGATAGCTCAGTAGAATAAGTACTTGCCTGGCTAGCGCAGGGTTCTGAGTTCAATCCCTGGTACCGTTAAAAAAAAAAAAAAAGACAGATATTGCTTATACCTGATTATACTCCAACAAGTTTTAGGGTGCTGTTGAATTCTAGCTTATTTTACATCATTTTAGCTTGTACATTTGTCAATCAGTAGCTGGTATTAAAATATGCCTAAATACTACCCCCCCTTTTTTTAATGGAGCATGAGTAGTCCTATATCTTCAAAATTTTCTTTTACAGCAAGCCTGTGGTTATGAGTTTACTAGCAAGTTACATCGGATGTATACAGATATGAGTGTCAGTGCCGATCTCAACAATAAGTTCAACAATTTTATCAGAAACCAAGACACAGTAATAGATTTGGGAATTAGTTTTCAAATATATGTTCTACAGGTATGAATATGTATTATCTTATTAGCATTTACTATCCTGTCCATTACTCTGATAAGAGTATTGATTGCCTAATCAATTATGTATATTGAAATTATGTGTATTGGATCCCAGAATTGTTACATTGATGTGGGAAGAAATGCTATGATAGTAATGCTGTGAGTTTTGCCACCATTTCACAGAAGGAAGGTAGTTTAGCACCTTTCTTGTTGCTCTGTTAACTTTTCACTTTTTTCATTATAGGCTGGTGCATGGCCTCTCACTCAGGCCCCTTCATCGACGTTCGCAATTCCCCAGGAATTAGAAAAAAGTGTACAGATGGTGAGTTGCAGGGAGAGTATTAGCAAACTAAAAGAACGGTAATTGTTTCTTGGTGCTGGAGATAAAACCTAAATGTTTTGTGAGTTCTCTGCCAGTGAGCTTGTACCCTCAGCACCAGTTTTTATTTTATGTCATTTTCATATATACCCGATCTCAAGGATTCATGAGATGACAGTATATTCACAGAACATTGTCCTTTATAGGGAAGTAATATTATAGTTACTAATATTAAAATTAAAACCTTGAGGGTGTCCTAGAATTCTTTGCAAAAGTATATCTCATATTAGTAAATCTGTCTGCCTCTAAGCAATTTTAAGTTACAAAAATTTAATATTAGAAGAAAAATTAAAACCAAACACTTAAAAATATGTTACATTCCAGCTAATCAGGATGCTGAGACAGGAAGATCACAAGTTAAAGTCATATATAAGCAACTTAGCCATGTCTCAAAATTTACAAAAAGGACAGGGATATAAATCAGAGGCAGAGTTCCCCTGGGTTTGATGTCCAGTACTTTATAAGACCGTATACCATCCGTTTGTATTTTTTTTGATGGAACGAGGGATTGAACTTGAATTTTGATACTTCGTGTGTCTCTTGCAATATTCCCATTTGTTCTTTTATGTAAATATATGTGGAATGTGAAATATTGTGAGAAAAAGTTACTGAAGCTAGAAATTTTAAGAAAAAAAAATTTACAGTGCAGATTGGTAAAAGCCCCTGTATGCTAACCAAAAACCTTCTAAGGAGACTGGGAAAGATGTTCTTAAAACACACATAGTTGGGGTTGGGGTTGGGGCTGGTGAGATGGCTCAGTGGTCTAAAGCACCTACTTAGAACAAGCTTAGCAAAGCCCAGGGACCGCAGTTCGATCCCCCAGCACCACATGCCAGCCAGCCCGCCCCCTGGTGGGCTGAACTGGCCACACACACACACACACACACACACACAAATAAATAAAATTTTAAAAAAACCATAAACACACATAGTTGGGTCAAAATTCAGAAAAAATGCAGTTTGTCCAATTGAAATACATGGTTTCCCTGGTTTTAGTATTATGGTGATATGTTTTGGTTGAGATGTAGAATGTTCCTGAATGCCAGTGTGTTCAGAGATGGTTTTCTACACTAGGGCTGGATCATGCTGTGCACTAGAGGGTCCACTGTGGAGATCACATGTGGAAATTTTCTAATTGTGGTGACATGGCAGCACAGAAACTTTCAGAATGTGGAACACTTTGGATTCAGATTTTGGATCAGGGATACTTATCTGTTGATATTCACCGAATTGGACAGTCACTACTACAGTTGATTTTAAAGCATTTTCATTTTTTCACACTTAGTCCAAAGATATCCTTTGCTCATAATCATCACTTCTCATTTTTCCTAACTTCCTCTCATTAGCCTACTTCCTTTACAGGTTGTATTTTTTTCCCTCTAGACAGCTCATGTAAATGGATTCATAGTATGTATAGTTCATAAGTACCCCTAAGGTATTTTAATCATAGTTTTGTCAGGGCTGTTGAGGTAGCTCAGAAGAGTAAAGTGCCTGCTTAGGCAAACTTATGAAAGCACAGAGACCACGGTTCAATCCTGGGCACTTTATGCTATACCAGCCCCACTCCCAGGGCAGTCTAAGCCAGCCACAGAGTCCAGATAGTGACACATGCCTGTAATCCCAGCACTGGGGAAGCTGAAAACAGGAGGATCACTGTGAGTCCCAGCTGCATAGTGAGACCCTGTAATAACCAAAATCATAAAAGAAAATCACAGTTTTGTCAAAATTCATCCATATTATAGTATGTATCAATAGTTCTTCGATTTTTAATTGCCAAATAATGTTTCCTTATATGGATATACCACATTTTGATTATCTACTCATCAAATGATGACCATGAAGGTTTCACTCAATTCTATCTTGACAATAATTATGCTATTTTTTTGTTTCTTTTAAAATGATTATTCTTGTAATCCCATCACTCAGGAGGTTGAAGCAAGAGGATTACTGTGCGTTTGAGACAAGCCTGAAATGCAGAATAAGACACTTGTCTCAAAAATATTATCATTATTATTATTATTTTTTTTTTAATATGGAACGCTTCACGAATTTGCGTGTCATCCTTGCGCAGGGGCCATGCTAATCTTTTCTGTATCGTTCCAGTTTTAGTATATGTACTGCCAAAGCAAGCACTCAAAAATTATTAACAGTGCAGTATAAGTTCTAGAATCATAATTTCTGTTTGCCGATGTCATTAAGCCACTTCCTACTCTCTTCTATGTGTATATGTGCTGCCAAAGGAGCACATTAACCTTCTGTTAAAGTAGTCATTATATTACTCAGAATATTGCTAGGAGAATGAAATTAGATAATTCATGTAAAGCACTTAGTTTGGTATGTAGCAATTTTTTTTTAATCTTCTATTTATGTATTTTATACAGGGTCTCGCTACGCAGCACTGACTTGTAGTGATCCTCCTATCTCAGCTTCCCCAGCGCTGGGATTACAGGTGTGTGCCAGTTTCAGTGGCCATCATGGAACACCTGGGGTTCTGGGACGGGGATGGCATGTAGTGCCAGGGATCAAACTCTGGTCCTCGTGCTTGCCAGGCAGGTCGCTTAGACCACTGAGCTATCCCCCCAGTCTCATATGTAGTAGTTACTCAAAAAATGGCAACCGGTAGTAGGAGAAATAGTAGTCACATAGCAACAGTATTGGTAATAATAGAGTAGTATTACCAGTAGAGAGATGAGGTTACTATTCGTGGGTAGGCTCTCAGAGTAGGAGTCTAATGTAGGATGTTTTACATCTTTGAAAAGATTATAACACAAACTCCTAGGAACTACATAAAAAAGATGATTCATATGAACATGCTTTGGGTGAGCATGAGTTCACATTGTGTGTTGTGTAGAAAAAGTGCTTGTCATCTTGGATCTAGTGATGGAATAGCCAGCTAAAATATCTTGATGTATTTGTGACCAGTCAAGAGAAAAAAAAAAAATGATCTCCCTTTTTGACAATTTTTTTAGGTTTGGTTTGGGTGTTTTTTTTTTTTTTTTTTTTTTTTTTTTGACAATCTTAAAGCGTGTTTCTTCTTTTTATGAGCAGAATGCATTTGGGGGGGAAGAAAGCTGTCTGAGAGAGGAACAGGGGTGAGGGTAGGGCAAGCGGGTGGTCCCTGGGAAGCTATTTCTTCTAGGGACAATTATAGTGTAAAACCATGCAGTGAGGTGGGTCTAAGGTAGTGCAGAGCATGGGAACTCACTTAGGTGGGCATGAGGTGGGACAAAACGGTGGTCAACCAATGAGATTGCAAGCACCATTGCTCAGGTAAAATTGATTAAATCCAGGACAAAATGGGGAAGCAAGTCATGTAGCAAGTGGGCATGGATATGGGACAGGGTCTCTTGCTGTTGGGAGTTTGGTTAGTGACTCATTTGGGCGCTTTCAAAGTGATTGATAACTATTTAGAATATCAATCACTGATGTCCATCCCTAGGGAAGTATGTAGCTGTATTTGTTTCCTCTTTTGTCTTGAGGTCTGGTGCATAGGTGAGTGTCTCTTTCTTCCAAGTTGCAAAGTCAGGGGCCAGGAAGATAGCCTAGTGGAATAAGTGCTTGCCTGGCAAGCACAAGGACCTGAGTTCAATCCCCGGTTCTGAAAAAAAAATACTGCCTGTAATACTTCTGTCTAATTCAGCTGCCTACAACATTCGCCCCTCTGAAGAGGTAACCTGAACTGCCATGAGGGAACCATGGGCGATGACCGATCTGGCTTCTTTAGGCTTAAAGGGGTTGTAGTTGTGAACTGGCAATCAGAGATACTCTCCAGAGGTTCTATCTAAAGGCACGCAATAGACACTAGGCATTTTTATCTTGGGTAGGCCCACTGAGCAAGATACAGCTTTTTGGTTTTAAGGCCTCTTGCAGGCAGCTCTGTCCAAGGAACATGGAGATATACCTTCTCTTGTAATGAGGCAGGAAACCCCAAGAAGGCTCAGCTCACCTGGGCTATATGAGATGGACAGTTAAAGGTCTTAATATGTGTCTTTATAGACAAAATCTGGTGGTTCTCAGTAAAAGGAATCTTAATTTAGCATATTTGCTGTGGATTTTACCTGCATGATTACCTAGATTTTGGTATCTTCTAGGAAAGAACAAATTTTTCTTGAGAGATTAGAACTAAAGCATAAGCATTTGAGCTAATAGGTAAGTTTATAAACCTTTTGAGGCATAGCAGTTGTAACCCA